TGATGCTAAGTGCTTCATAGGCATGTCCCACTTAGCTCTCACAAACAGCTCTTTACCACAGGGGTAGAAAATACTCCCATTTTGCAGATATGGAAGCAGAAGCTCAGACCGGTTAAGTAACTTCCAAGCATCATACAGTGTTCAACAGGATTTGAATAGAATGTAAATTCTTCTGATGCCATTCCCCCAGCTCTTCCTACTCTGTTTTATGTTGGAGGAGAAAAGTTGCTGTAATGTGTGCTGTTACTACTCATTAAATAAGATAATCCTTGAAAGCTGCAGCATTTGGCATGCAGTTAGTGCTCTACGAATGTGATCTATTATTATAATACTCTAATTAGTTCGTATATTTTTATAACCACGTTGAACCTCAAGGGCAGGGGTCACTCTTCTCCATAAGGCTTGGCAGAGTAGTTTCATGACCTACCGATTAACTAAATAGCATTATTTTATTACAGTCATAAAGTGGAAGTAGAATTGCTTCCCTTAAGGCAGGGCTTTGTGCTTTGTGCACAAAACTAGTCTGTCCGCGATTTTAATGGGGAGCTAGAGTAAATCATGACTTTCCAGTGGCTTGGAACCCTGGTAGTCAACAAGGAAACGGGTAGACCCGACACCAAGGAAAAAGAGCAGCAACCAGTAAACCAAAACCTGGGCTCTGACCCTCCGCTGACATCAGGCGACCGTTCTAGCAGTCTCTGGCCACGCCCCTAAGGCCTGCAATCTGATAGGCTCGGCATACCAAGTGGGCTGGACCTTGGAGAGAATCTGGCCCAATCTTCCGGTTCCACATTTGCTGCCCGGGACTAGCTGTTGCCAAAGGCGAGTTGACTCAGGATCAGAAGTCCGGGTTACTGGAAAACGTCCCTCCCCTGCCGCACCCAGAGGCAATGCAGGAAAAGGGACTTAACCTTTCACTGTGTCGTTTTCCCCTTCATCTACAAAATGGAATAATAGTGCCTTTTCCATAGAATTGTAGGAATTAAATAAAATATAACATAGAAAAGTGCTTATCACAGGTACCTAACTCATTGCAAGTGCTCAAAAAAATTAGTTGCCTCTAGATAGCAATGTGTCTAAGGGCAGGACCTATATCTGAATTACAGCGGGCCTGAATGCCCTTGTCTCTTTGAACAGTTCATATGATTGTTGAATGAAGGCCTGAAAAGGTAGAATCACTCTATTACTGTTTCATCTCTTCTGATAAACTTCACCTGTTTTAAGTCTCTCAACAATCTCTAGAAGGTTTAATTTCCTTTTTCTTTCCTCCCCTTCCAGGAGAGCCTGGGGACAATATGAAGCCCTAGGAACCTGAGAAGGAAAAAGGGCCACCTTCATAATATGAATGAATGCATGAATATGAAGCCCTAGGGACCCGAGAAGGAAAAATATGAATGAATGCATGAATATGAAGCCCTAGGGATCCGAAATATGAATGAATGCATGAATATGAAGCCCTAGGGACCCGAGAAGGAAAAATATGAATGAATGCATGAATATGAAGCCCTAGGGACCCGAGAAGGAAAAAGGGCCACCTCCTGGCTACGTGCACCCTCATTTTGGACCTTCTTGCTCCAGGATGATAGGACAGCCGGCTTTGACCTGCTGTGGGCTGTATGAAGGACACTAAAGAGAGCAGCAGGCCACCAGTAAGGATTTGAGATGGGCTGAATTGCCCTTAGGAATGAAGTGATATATTCTCATTAGAATTAGGGAATGAGTGATTTAGAGTAGTGGTTAGAATCTGGGCATAAAGATTTGAATTGAGAAGTCGAGTGGAGTTAGGACTAGGTATTTAGTTACCACTGAATTTCTGAATGAGAAATGGAAAGCTGCTAGTGGCTGATAAAGTGGGGGCTATCACTTTGCTCTAAAATGTAAAATGTCTGTTTCAGGGACCTGCCTTCTTCCTTATAGGGAGCCAGAGAATTCTCTCCACTGACTGGGCTCCTTAACAGACCTGGGTGAGATGGAGCATCTACTATACACTAGGCATAGAGTCTAATATATAGGGTCCCATAGCTGTTGAGGACAGAGCCCCTTACAATGACGCTGAGGAGACCAGGATGTGAATAACCTGGTCTAGGCCCATCCCAGCCATAGCCCAGTGACTTCAGGGAAACCTTAAATCTCTTGGCCTCAGCTATTCTATCTGGCAAATGGACCTAACCTCAGAGGGCTGTTTGGGAAACCTTGAATGATCATGGGAAGAAAGGACTTTGAAGCTGTTCCAATGTGAAATATAAGGCAGAGTCTGGGCACTTTACCCTCAGGAGAGGCTGAGGGTTTTCCTTCTCTCTATGGAATCCCAAGTTGTCTTGCTCTTGCCACACCCAGCCAGTCTTTCCCAAGACCATTCCCAGCAGGGACTTATGCCTCCAAACAGGAACTGACAAAGAAGCAACTCATACCAAAAGCTTTCCAGGTACCCGGTACTCCCCATCACACACGCGCGTGGGCGCGCACACACACACACACATGCGTGCGTGCGCACACAACAACCAGCCCTGGGGCTGCTGTATGACCAACCCTATGAGTCACCTGGATAAAGTAGACTCAACAAATATTTATCAAATGAATGAATGAATGAATGAATGAGGGAATAGGTGAGTGAGTGGCTCCATGGATGGTCAGACACTCCCTTAGAGAATGAGACTGCTTCCTAATTCAGGATGCAGAGTACTCCCAAAGAAAATCATCTGGGACTTTCCTAGTGAGTGCTCCATGACAGTCACGTCCTCTACTTTTCCTCAAGCCCCATGTGTCTTTTCTCCCCAATTTCATTGTGGGGGGTTGTGTTCTAGACTCCATTGGGATCATATATGCTAGACTCTACATCTGGTATGCAGTAGATGCTCAATAAATGTGAGATGAACTAAAGCAGGAGAAAGATTAATAAGACTTGGACCCTATCTTCCAAATGTTTACAATTTGATGAGCGAATACATAAGAATTATGTGACAAAGCACCATAGGTGACAAAAACAAAAACAAACAAACAAACAAAAAAACTGCCAAGGAGTGTATGTTATAGTTCAGAGCTGAAAAACTTACTATGGACTGAAAAAGTCTGGAAATGCTTCGTGAAGGAAGGGAATGGGATATGAGGCTGGACTTTGAAGGAAGAGAAAGATGTGGTGGCAAGGGAGGTGTTGCTGATAGAGAAAAAGGGGATGGGCAGCTCCTAGAAAGAAGGACATTTCAAGTTGTGTTCAGAAGATTAAGATGGTAGCTGGAGAGCAGATTCAAGCAAGAGGAGTGTGCCATGTGTGTGAGGTTCCAACAAGACTGTACAGAGCTTTGAATGCTAGGATAGGGATTTGGATCAGGGGGCTAGTGAGGGTTTTTGAGCAGTAGCAGGAAATGAAAGGAATGCTGGGAGGTGTGGGAAGATGGTCTGGGGGAGAGAGACAGCTAAGGAGCAAGGTGAGTGTGGCAAACCCTCCTGGGAAGTAATGTGTCAACACAGGGCTGACCAGAACCTAGTCTTAGGCAAACCGACCATTTCCATTCATTCATCCATTCATGCATTCATTCATTCATTCAAATATTGATTGGCCCCCACCATGTGCCAGGCCCTGTAGAAGTAAATATTGCATAAGCCTTCCCTCCTTCCCTCGGACCCTAGCATCCAAGCGTCCAGCCCCAAGGCTTGAGGCCACACCGCCAAGGGCAAGAGCCTGGGGGAAAATCAGCTCAATCCTCTCTCTTACCTGCAGCTTCTTTCTACAAAACCTCTAATTTGCACAGTTCAGGGTCCCAGACACAAGTTCATCCGACCCTGCCGCACCCTGACCACCACCCTCCCCCACTAGCCACACCTGGAAGGGAAGGAACTGCGGGAGGAGAGGGTTGGCCTATGGAGGGTGTGGCGCATCCGGGTAGGCATGGGGGCCGGGGACTATGTTGACCGGAAAGGGCTGAGGCTGCGGCCGGAAAGGGGTCATGATGATGGCTGAGAAGCGGCCTAGGAAGGCGCTTCCTGACCGCACCCACACGCGCCCAGAGGCTAGGCAAGCCATTCGGCGGCCGGGCGCGGGGCTGACCAGCCGGGAGGAGGGCGCGCCCGGG